ATCTGAGTCAGATATTTTGGAAGTCCCGTCTGAATCTGCAAGTGAGTTACCGTTAGGTAGTTCAGATGATGCAGAAGGGACAACCGGGATATCCTCAGTCAGAACGTGGGCAACCTTTTTCAGAGTTAAGAAAAATTTCATCTTAGCTTGCCAACGTTTGAAATTGGAACCCTCAAACCTGAAAGGTTTGTCAGAGACCGAAGCGGCTGCAGTAGTACTGATAATTTCCTCAGTTGCCATGGCAGTTATGAAAACGTCTTAAAATTGTTGTTTTCGGATTTGAAAAAATAGCGTTTGGCACAAGGAAATTATCGGGACGAGTCGCGTACTAGGTCGCTTTCTTTAAGACGTTTCGTCGTACTGCCAAATTATGCAAAGCAGTCGAATTTACGACGACGCCTCCAGGATAAAACAGCCCGTTCAAACAACTTACGATTATCAGTTGCACACTGATAAATCGCTCTAGAAATACACCTTTCAAAGTATCTGATTAAAATAACCAGTCAAGAAAAGAGAGTTTTGAGATGAAGAAAAATGAGAAAGAGAAGAGGGAAATCAAAATTTGTGTGAATTTGTGAACTGCACCTGAGTGGGGAGAAATTCGTGGGGAGTGGAGAAAAAGGTGGGAGACTGAGAAATTCGTGGGGAGTGGAGAAAATGGTGGGAGACTGAGAAATTCGTGTAGGACTGACTGACCAGTTATTTTCTTAATTAATTAATATTTATTATTAATTAATTTTCCACCGAATTATATTAATTAATTAATGATAATTAAATTATATAAATTCGGGTCCAAAAAATAATTCATCTAGACCGAGCCGAGCCGAGCCGGGCCGGACGGACGGCGGCGCGCGCGTGTGTCTTGTTGGTCATGGGTGTGTCCTCACTCCTTTCACAAAATTGGGTGCCCTTTAGGGCCCAACCCAATAGACAAAGTTGGAATATATAAACACTACTAATATTTCCATTCCCTTCAATGTGGGACTAAAATGAATCTTTTCAAATTCACTTCTATATTAGTTCTCACTTGTGTTCATTTATTGCTCATTAATTGTCAACAAATGTTTCCAATTCCCACTATAATTAATTAAAGTTCCACCATTAATTAATTAAAGTTCCAACATATTGTGGTGTTTCCATTGAATGTACAATTTTTTTTTTTATCAAATCCAACCGCCCCATGGAATATTGTATACATGGGGCATGGATGAATGCCGAGGAACCAAATCGCCCCAACTGACATAGAAGAATAACAAACTCATTATTCCTGTTTCATTATTCAAGTATTGGTTATGTCATTGTCTCAAGAAATGTTAACCGGTACAAGCAGGACAAATACAGAATAAATAAATAAAGATCAAATGAGAGCAAAAATTATAAATTAAGATCAAATTCACCTGTTTTAATCAAGGAAGTCACGCTCGAGAAACGGAAAAAAAATATCTCAAACAAGAGACGAAACAAATCAAATTGCATGGTAGTGATTTTTGCTAAATGAATAAACTTCATCTCGGTTAGATTGGAGCTGCATAATATAGATCAAGATTTAGTAATGATTTGAATATTCAATAGAACTGAAATTAAGTAGATGTGAAAACCAGATCTATAGAAGTAGTGCAAATGCATACCAGTATTTAAATAAAACTCATGGTAGCACCATTGAAACAGTGTTATTACATTTACGACCAAAGGTATTTGACATTCATGTTTAATTTATGCATATATAACAGACAGAATAATCGCAAAGCACTAATTAATGGAAGGAAGTTTTAGATAGTTGGAGAAAGTGTTTATGTATTTGGGAGATGATAAGAAAATTTTGAGAAAAGAAAGAGTACTTGTAATATTGGCTTGATACAAACTCAAGTACAACCCACTATTTATACTAGTGACATATTTAAATCAACGATTGAGATTTTACCACCACAAATTTAATCTAATGGTTATAAATTATTTTCTAAAATTTTCTTTACTATTCTAGAAAAAATTCAAACTTATTCTTATCTTCTAGAGAGCTTCATAAATCTCTCTAGAATTGCCTTCTAGAAGTTGGACCTTTTACAATATCAATTTGGGCTTAGAATTCTTAAGACCAAAAAATTAACAAACCCAAAATCAATTTAAATTTTCAACAACCCCTTTCTTAAAGAAATTTTATCCTGCCATCCACCACCTTAACCTATCACCCACACATAATTTCATTATGACAAAAATACCGTTTGCATTATTTATCTTTCAAAAATCCAGATATTGTAAAAAAAATCATTATGTAAAACTAGTAAAAACAAAGTATTTGATAGTTATTTCTAAATATTTAGTGCGAAAATTTTCACAAGAGAGAAAGTTTATGCATTTTTATCGGAATTTTACAAATACGACGCGTTTTTTCCAAATATTTTGACAAATCCAGTATTTTGTTACATTTATACCATATTTTTTTAAAACCAATATTTTGTTGTAAGTTTATTGGATTTTTTGGAAAACTCTTCCTTTTTTAGGGTAAGTGTTGTGTTCGTACCAGAGGTTTCAAGAAGTTCGATACATTTATACTAGTATTTCAAAATATATCGAATACATATAAAAGTATTTGATTTTTTGAAAAATCGAGTAACCAGAGTTTTTGCATAAACAAAAAGAAATGATAGTTCAATATGCTTCATTTGTGCGATTCAGATTCTGATGACTCATCTGCATAATTTACATAGATTTTTTTACCATTGACATTGTATGTTTGACTTACAAGTTTAATTTTTAATTTGTTCAAAAACTAGTAGTTTTACAGTATCTCTAACATTGATAATTAATTTTGTTTATGTTATATATGATAGATATTTTCCTCTCGATCTGATGTTTTGAAATGGACACATTCTTTTAGTAAACAACATAATATTATTCTTGTTAATATACGTTAAAATAATTTTTATGCAGATGAAAAGAAGCATTGAATCATCAAAATGCTTTTTTTTTTATGGGCACATGTAAAACGATCAAATGGTATGAATGAAAGAAAATAAGATATTTTTGATTAAAAAGATGGTTTTAATGAAGAAATGAAATGATTGAATGAATAATGAAATTCTTAAATGAAAATATCATTAAACCCTCTGTTATGAAATTCCAAAGTATTTTATTAAATATGCTAAAAAAGTTAATGCGAAAGGAAAAGCAATTTTAATGATGCATACATATTTCATCGCATCACATTCAAGCCATCCATTCAATACCATCAAATCTATTCACACATAATCCTCATATTCATATTCAATTCAAAATATATTCAAGTTCATCAAATCATCTTAATAGTTCACATCATTCATCACATATAAGTTTGCATACATTCATGTTCACAACTTTTCAAGCAAGTATTCATTCATTATTGTTCAATTCATTGAACATGAAGTACGAAATACATAAGTTTGAGTTGAGCTACCATGATAAAGAGTCACCTGGTTAAAGCAGCATCATATATAGCATAAGCAAATTCATCACAATGATTTCAACAAACTCACAACTACATTCTACATACAAAGCCACATTCAAAAAAATGTCATTCAAAATGTCATGATAGTAAATTCTTTTACAGACAGTAAAATAGGAAAAGATCCATTAGTAAAAATCAAGTGGGACTACCAAAATTCTGCACTACAAACAAAATATGCAAACCACAAATTTCAGAATTCTGAAATATGTGCATGACACTTTCCACTCAAAAATTTATTCCTCCTTATCAAGTTTTGATTGTACTATTTTTCCAGCTCACCACCCCACAATTCCTTAGCATAGAAAACTCTAATTGAATCCTATATATATTGTCACTATTCATTCAAAGGAGACAGAGGAAGAACAAAGAAAAAGATAAACAAAGAAAATCAGCAACATCAAAAACGTTTTTTCTCTAACCCTCCACTACGCCAAAATTGGTTTTTTGTATCGCCTACTTTAATAGCGCTTTTTAAATAAGCGCTATTAAAAAGGAAACAAACATATTTATAATAGCGCTTTATAGTAAAGCGCTATTAAAGAGTACAGAGAATATGATTTTGATAGCACTTTGTAAAAAAACGCTATTATAGATATTCACTAAGATAGGGCTTTTCTAAAAAGCGCTATTAAAATGTTGTATTACAATAGCACTTTTATAAAAGCGCTATTATTAAAAGCACTACGATAGCGCTTTTTAAAAATCGCTATTAAAATATGTAACTACAATAGCGCTTTCTATGGAACCGCTATCGTTTCTATAATTGTGTTTTAAGATAGCGCTTTTTTAAAAAGCGCTATTAAAATATTCCACTAAATTAAATTAATTAAAATATGAAAACCTTTCCTGGCCCAAATGTTTTTTGTTTTGGCGCAAAATTCTTTCACCCACGCAAAAAAGCACATCTTCACCGCTTCTTCATCGATTCACAGCCATCGATTCACAGCCATCTTCTTCACTTCACTGGAATAAAAAGACGAACCCTAAGACAGCTCACCACCGTCATCCTTCTCCGTCGATCTCAGCCGCCGTCATCAGCTCACCACCGTCATCCTTCTCCGTCGAAAGGAGCCGCCGTCATCAGCTCACCATCGTCATCCTTCTCCGTCGAAAGGAGCCGCCGTCATCAGCTCACCACCGTCACCCTTCTCTTCATTGATATCCGGTAATCTTTCTTTTCTCAGATTATTGCTTTGTGTTAAATTGTAAAATTAGGGATTTGAATGCTTTATGTTGTAAATTGTAAAATTAGGGATTTGAATTTGATTTTCATTTTCTTGAAGAACTGTTGGCATTTCATGAAATATGATATTTTAGCTTTTATGAGGGATTTTCATAGTTTTTCTCACTTACCCAAGGCTGTAACGTCTTCTTTTTTAACTCACATCCCTAAGGTTTCAAACCCTTTAAGCTTAGGTGATTATAGGCCGATTTGTTTGGTGGGGAGCCTTTATAAAATTGTTGCAAAATTACTGGAAGCAAGATTGAAAAGAGTGATTGGTAGTCTTGTTTCTCAATGTCAATCTACTTTCGTCCCCGGAAGACAACTGTTGGATGGTGTTGTTGTTGCTAACGAAGTTATAGATAAGGCTACTAGAGATAACATTCCTGTTCCAACTCCCTTCACAAGTGCCTCCCCCTTGCTTATGACATACTGTTTATCCATGTTCTCTGTGAAGGATTTGACTGCCAAACCCTCCCCAACAAAAGCATATACTGTTTTTATTTGTGATATGGTCTGTCATAATATCAGTATAAGAGTTTGTTATAATCAGCTATGTGACAATAGATTAGACTAAAAGTATCATTGATATTGAACACTTGGATTGTGTATATGTATAAAATGCACAATTTGTCATGTTGTAAATCATAGTATTGCACCATACATGGATCGATGTCGTATACCTGTTCTATCATAGACGTGGCTTCAGAATGGTAAAACAATTTCGTAGTCGAGATTCTGTTCATTTTCTTAGTGTAACTTGCTCCAATTATGAGAATAAGAGGGACAACCACTAAACACAGAAGTGCTACTTCCCAACAGGATATTGCGGCGATCACAATCTCGGCAAAGAAAGTTGCGCAGCTAGAGGTAAAGTGACCCAACTGTGATCAAGAAATTCACTTGCTTGGTTCAGTCATAAAAAGAAAGATTAAACTTGTTACAATTATTTATTTGCTTACCTTTTCACCAATTGCATCTTGTATAACACTCATGTGCTTGCTTATTCCAGTGATGACTTTTCCACTTGTTAATTCTGTATCAAAAGCTCCTATCTCTTGGCTTAGAACTACTTTTAGATATGCTAATCTTAGGCGTGATAACTGTCTTCCACTTGCATACATCCAACAACCAATCTCTGCATAAATTTTCATCTGGTGAATTGTAGAATTGATAATTGATAGTTTCTATGAACTTATTTCTATGAATTTTTTAGCAATGTTGTATGAACTTATTTGTTAGCAATGCTGTATGAACTTATTTATACATATTTTTTTATCAATAGTTTCTATGAATTACTACTTTTGTTAGCAAACAGGAATTTATCCTTAATTCATAATAAATAAAGGAGCTGTAGGTTTTAGTTAGTGGCTACAATGAAATGATAAAAGTTTAATGATATAATTGACACAATTTCTTTCATTATATTTGTGAGTTCTATCAGAGATAGGAAACAAACATAGATTGTTTAGAAGAGTTCATGCACAGGCATGAAATATAATCTAATGTTGCTAGACTCAGCATGTAAAACATTCCTCTCATTACACAAGTCTCATATATCATGGCTTTTTCTTTTATCAAGTGAACTTTTATATTATGTTGTTAAAACTTAAGAAAAGGGGAAAAATGATGGTAGGATATAATACTCACAGGTCGGAGAAGCTTCCAAGTCTCTTTAAATGATATAATTAAGCCATCGTCCCTCCAATTTAGATGAATTTATTTTGCTACACTCAGACTGCAAATAATAGTTAGAATATGTATAAAGAGTAAGTTATGTGTAACTTACGGTTAAAAATGAATTTCTTTTTTCCGGCAGCTTAGTAACTAAAAATGAAGTAAATGTTTGGTGAACATAAACCCCACATCGATTTATGAATAAGTTTTGAAAAGGTATATAACTAACTGAAACAAACAAATAATAGTAACATAAGTAAATTGTAATAAAGCTGAAAAGGTATCTTGTACTAATTGGTTTTGCTTTGTCTGAATTTGTTGTTACAGTGCTCGATGCGTTGTGCTTCATTCGCGTTGTTTCTTTAAATTGTTTCAGACACTTAACATCATAGTCTTCACCTCTTTTTATCAACCAATTGCTTTTGAGAATACAAACTGTGATGAAGATCTTCCTCAATCCTAAGCTGTGAAGTGCCTTCAATACAAGGTAAATGATTAATTTAATCCTAAGCTGTATAATTGGAACTGCTAGAATAAAGTCCGGGTAGGAGGTAGTTGTTGATGTAGTCATTATTCACCGTCGCGACAATTGCTATAGGAAAATGACGAATCCAACTGACGAGAATCAATTCCTAGCCAAATCTATAGCAATTGTTGTGACGGTGAAGAGTTGAGTTGGATGACAATATTCACAGGTGCACAAATGCTTTCAATGTACAGTAAAGACTTTAAGTTTCTGTTTAATTAGTAAGTGTTTTAAAAATCTTTGGGAAGATTAAAAGTACCAAGTAGATGAGGGGAAACAACACGTTGCCCAAGAGATGAATTTCCTTGAAATTTTTTGTAATCATGATTGACCAAAAGACATGTCCCTTGTTCTGTCGTTGCTTCAGCTTATAGGCATTAAAATGATTATATGATTTTATAGAAGACTGATATTTTCTAGTATAAACTATCCCCTCATTATTATGCTATAGATTTAGAAACTTAAAAACACGCCTTTTCAAACTCTGAAGAGTTGAAACAGGTATTTTAGATATACTTTAAGATAATTATTAAGAGTGCAATGAGTAACCCCGTTTATAAAAAAATGGCTTAATATAACCTAGATCTACATATGTCCTAACTTTTGGCTTATTTATTCTCAAATTAAATAAAGATGTGATATCAAATTAAATAAAGATGTGATGTAAACATAGCAGTATCCAAACACAGTTTCTTCATATTCTATGAGTAAATGTATGTTTTTCATATTCTGTCTTTAAGTTTTCAAGAATGTTGCAAGAAGGAAAAACCACTTTGACACAGTTTCTTCATTTAATTTGCTAAGCAATATCCAAACACAGCAGTGACAGATGAAGTACACCTGATTGTATGGTTCTTCGGTTTTTTGCCTCTCTAATTTCATGAGCCTTGTTTGTTTTTACAGTTCATTTTCATTCATCCAATTTATCAATTTATGATGGGTATGTTGCAGGTATTGGTTTACGAATCGGTATCGAATTGTTGTTGTTTCCACTGCTTTGCAACTTGCACACTAAGTGTTCGGTAAATTGCCTCAACCAAGTTTCTTTTCCTTTTTCGTTTCTGTTTCTTGCTAATCATGTGTTCGATAAATTACTAAGAATTTATATGCCTTTCAAATGAATTTACTATAATGCCATCCGCATTCTTGAGGCCTTCCGCATTCTTGAATCAGAATCAGAATCAGAACACACTTTCTTTCCTCCATTGGACTTAGCCATCATTGAACTAAGGGTGAAAAACTGAAGAAGCACATTACAAACATAGCTAGCTGATGAACCAAGCCAATTCGAGGAGCATGAGTTCGTTGACCTTGTTCATCATTCCTGCTTCAAGCTCCAAAAGAGAAAAGATACGAATTTAGAGTAAAACATGAGAGAGACACTGTCGACATAGGTTGGAATCAATCGTTTGAGACGCTGCTGCTGTTAGTGTTAGTGTCAATGCCTCACCATTCAGTGCCATGGAATATATACACAGTTCGATTGAGTTCCTGTACAACTGCTAGTGTTTTGGTCAAAGTTATATGCTACCATCCACTTCCAAACTATTAATGCAATCCTGTCATCTCTCCTCCTTCGCCTAAGGCGGCGATGAATCCAACCATATTCTAAGTAGCGATTCAGCTCTGTTTCGTAGCAACAACATTCAAACAGCAGCACCAAGGAGTTTAGCGACTCACATCAACAATAATAATTCGGTTGGTTTCCCGTTTTGGTTATACGATTGTGATGTTGTTTGTTTATTATTTGGGGTAATATTGATGTCTTTTGCAAAACTTTGTTTAGTTTTTATCTTCAATTCAGTTATGATTCTGGTGCATTCTGTTTCGAGTGCTGCTTTTTGTTTACCATCGAAGTTCTGTTATGTTAAAGTTTCAAGTTTGCAACATGTAGTCAATGTTGAACTTTTGCATGAACTGTGGCTGCTTTGGCTATCCATGTTTTAACTTTTGGTGATCATATTTTGGATTTTATTGAGGTGAATGATTTAAGGATTAAATATGTCGCTATGATTGATTTTCTATTCCAGAATCTTGCTGTCATGTCTATTTGCTTCACTTGTATGTGCATCGTAGCCATGTCGATTTTGACATCGTAACGACGATTGCCAATTCTTGATTTGGTTTCCGTTGCTCTTCCTAATTTATATATGCATCTTATACGCTGCTGCTGAGTTCTGTTCCTTCGTGTTAATGTATATTGCGATGTCGGCATCCAAATTTCATTGTTTATCACCTCAAGGCATACTGTAACAGCGACTTTGTCTTAAATGTGTGTGTTTTTTATTCAGTGCCAATAGTGACAACAAAGTGAACTGTATGTTGGAGAGGGGACTCAATGTAGGAAGGAAGATGATAGTTTTTGGTTTTGTAGCAACTTCAGTTCCTCTTGTTGTTCCTGATTTTATAGTTGTTTCTGCTATTGGTCTTGTGGTTTCTGTGCCATGTTGTTTTTTCTTGGTTAGCCATAGGTGCACTCAGAGTTTAATGAGTAAGTTGCTTCCTAAGCCTATGCTTTCTCCTCAAGATGTGTGAACAGGAAACAAACCTTGAATTTAATTAGGATTAATTAGTGTAGAGAATTAGTTAGTATAATCTATCATTTATATATATAGGTATCTGAGACACATAATCATTCGATCACTTTTGTTTTTTTTCCTAAATTATCATTACTACTATCATGGCTTTGTTAACTGGTATTGGATAATGAAATTGAGGTGAGATTGATATGTTGGTAAAATGAATGGTGGCTATTTAGTGTTCACTGTTGATTTCAATAATTCTTTTACCATAAGTATAAATCAAGCCTCATAACTGATATGGATTCTTCTCTACAGTACTTCACCAATTCTATATCTATATTTTTGCTTCCTGTGGATGGTGCACATGCTGCTGCTTGTGAAGAAATGGCTACAACAATGTCCAGTGCAGAGGCTGCTGCTTACAAAATCCTTATACGTTTGACAGGGACTAATTCATAAGTTTCGTATACCCGAGAGAGAAAACCCTGCATCAATGGAATTTCAATCTTCATGGAGATTTGGAAACGACATGTTTGCTTTGATTCTGTCCTTTGGATTTCTGTTTACAGCACTGAGAAGTCGGAAAGCAAGGTCTTGGCGATATGGATCAGGTGGGACTTTTGTGAAATTTTAGAGGGGTTCAAAATAACTGAATTTAGATTCTTCTTATTGCAGGATGTTTACGGGGTCTCGTAGCAGATTACGGTGTCGCGATAATGGTTCCATGGTGCATATGAAAACTGGACTGTGATAAAGGAAATGCTGAATGTGCCAGTTCTCTATATTATTGGAGCAATTATTCCAGCAACAATGATTGCTGTGCTTTACTATTTTGACCATAGTATAGCATCTCAGCTTTCTCAGCAGAAACAGTTCAATTTAAGAAAGCCACATTCATTCCATTATGATTTACTTCTTTTGGGATTTATGGTGCATGATAGTTCCTTGCCTTATTGGATTCTTTAGTTTATGAAAAATTCTCTTGGTTATTTGATATATTTTTGAACTGAATTTGATCCCTACTTTTTAAATGTATGATATGTTGAATGTATGGAAGGTTATATTATGTGGTCTAATTGGGACTCCCACGTCAAATGGTGTTATTCCACAATCTCCAATGCATACCAAAAGTTTAGCTACATTGAAGCACCAGGTATACATATTAAAGTGATTTTAGGTTTTCTTGTTTTATAGCATAAAATCCGTTTATGTTAGATTTGCTATATAGTTGGTCTCAAACATGGTTAAAAGGAGACGGTTGCCTTATATAGTTAATAACCAGCATAAGTTTTTGTCGTCGAATTATTATATCATAGATCAAATACATAATAATGAGAATTTCTAAGTTGTTGCCCGTGGTGTATAGCTCGAGAAAAGTGTCAAATAAATAAGGATTTTCGTATTGTCGTATATGGATACAATGAACTAT